TATAAGCATCACATTAATCCGACGAGCTGAGATAAGGCATCAACTCGAAGTCTCACACGACGCGCGACGATGCCATGTGACATAGGACCAAATGAAGCTGTCAATCACTCAGTGAGCCCGTTTAACGTGTTCTAAAAAGCGGGCCCCGATCGCTCGCGCCAAAGGACTGCCACGTGTGTATCCGAAAGAAACCCATTCAGGGTCGCCCAATTTTGAAGAAAGAAACAGTGCGCCAGGAAGACATCTGAATCTTCCAATCAATTTATTTTAATTCCCAACTCCCTGGAAGGCTGCCATGGTCTTTGATCAGGAAGGGAATAGGAGTTGTTTTGGAGCTGCAGCTAGATGTTTGTTTGTTGGCAATGCATGCCAGACCTCCAGTAGTGTCCGTTTTGCCGCCTGGCCACTGGAGGGCTGGGGCATTGGAAGCGGTCGTCAGTCACAAGCCGGCCATCAAAGGGCTGGGAACGTGTGATGGCGGTCTTGGACCAGGGATCCAATAATAGTACGGAGCGCAGCCCGGTTTTCCGTGGACATTGTGGTCTGAGTTGTTCAGCGCGGCAGCCCTGACCGGGAAGAAAGGGCTAGCCTTTGTTGCCAAGTTGCGAAAGCCCTTCGGAGGCGCAAGCCTCCTTCCTTGGGGTCACATTGGAAGGTTTCGGACCGCAAGCTCGTTTGAGCTTCCCAGCATGGGGCACAGAATACGTACACATACTGACGGGTTTGAGTAGGTGAATCAATCAACTGGGTCCAGCCTGCCTTGCAACCTTTCCAGAGCAATCCCTTTTCCGGCCATGGCACTGGACCACTCACCGAAGGTCCGCACCCGGATCGTGCGGGCCTTCCTGATTGAGGAGCAGAAGTGCGTGAAGCAGGCGGGCGAAGTTTTCAGTGCTCAGATTCAGTACCCGTTGGACGAAACGGCGGCCACGGTTTTTCTGCAGTTTAAACAAGTGGTTGGCCCACATTAACCCTGGAAAGAAAGCAGGAAACCGACCAGCCATGGCCAGGCCGCCTATGAGTTTTTTTCGAACAGACCTTGCTTGTCCAGCGGCAATTCGTTCCAAAGGGTTGACAGGCCAACGTGCGCACACATGTGGGCACGCGATAAAAAGGCCCCCCGAAATGGGGCCAGTTTTCCTTTGTGATTTCCCTTGAAACCCAACTGACGCACATGGATATTGAAGTAAGACCTTTTGCCGAAGTAAGGGAGATGATTCGCTGCTGGTTGAGCAGTGGGAGGCATCCACTCTCACAAAGCCGGCACAAGCGACAATCTTGGGGATGGCGCGTTGGATTTCCTAGCTCTCAACCATTCCACACCCTGAGTTTTGAAACCACAGCTTCGACCGTTTGCCTTGAGGCCTCATCTCTTACAACAGGGTTGATGCTGCGCGGCGGTTGTTTGATTCATCCCATATGACTTGGTGCTGATCAGCTACGCGGGATATGGACGGTGCCGAGGGCATAACTTCGGACCCTGCATAGAAGGGCAGGACAGCACTTGCAAGGCGTCATTTTCTTGCTTCGCCTGATCCGGTAGTAAAGATTTGCAGCTCTTGCATTTTTTCAGGCATTGCCAAGAAATTTGAGTTGGCCCCAATTCATGTATACACCCCAACAGTCATGGAGGCTACTTTCCTTTTGGGGAGGCGAGGCACGCGGTGCAAAGCGGAGAAAAGACGTCGATCGCCTTCGACAGGTTCTGGCGGAGAAGCTCTCGCAGGTGGGGAGGGGACCACCCCAGACTTTCAGCCAAGCACTCATTGCGCCGAGCTCTGGGAGAACCCCTCCCAATGCGTCTTGCAATGCTCGGGAATGATGGGCCATATTGTGAGTGCTTTCTCTTTGTGCGTCCAGCCCCATGTGACGCAGGGGTCGAATCGAGTGGCTGAACCTTTGGGTGTCTCGGGACAGCATTGCCCGCCCAGAAAAGATTGAGGTTTTTGGTGGAACCATTTCACGCCTCTGCTGCAGCTTTTTTTTTCTTCTTCAGGTTGGCCCTGAGCTAGGCAGCTTTCTACACGGATCACAGGGCGCAGCAAGCGCAGCACCTATTTGCACACTTCGATCTGAGAACATATGTCTGAAGCCTTGTATCGTGATTGCGGAGGGGAAAAACAAAGGTCCGCTGGACAAGATTCAATGGAGTGCTCCCTTGGTTTGGCAAGGGTTGGCGAGTGCCCGTCTTTGAATGCAAGCCTTGCCAACATGCATATTAGTCCGAATATAGAGGACCCTTGTGGGTGGCTTCTTCATGATTGTCCAAGCTGGTTCGAGCTGCGCAAGCAGTTCTTTCGGGAGACTGACTGCTTTTTTGGAAAGAGCTTCCAGTGCGGCTCACTGCGTTTGTTGCGGCAGGGAATGAGACTTATTTGGGCAAAAAACTCAAAAGCATACCGCAAGAGTTCATGGTCATGAGTCAGCACAGGGAGCCCCTGGTAGGCCTTTCGGGGCTCAATGCGTTGCCTGTTTTTCTTTTGCCATTTGTGTCTTGACGCGTCCCTTGGGGCGATTCGTGTGAGGAACAGTTGGTTTCTCATGGCAGTGGTCCATTGTGTTTACTACAATATTCAGTGGAAGCTGTTCAGGTTGCTCTTCCAAGCGCGATCAACATGTCCTCAAAAAGGGCTCAATTTGCAACAACAGGTTTTGTTGTTTCTTGTGTTTCAAACAAGTACATTAGTTAGTGGCTGTTGGCATGTCGGGACACCCCTTGAAGGAATCTGCAGTTGTGCGCTCGAGATGATACAAACTGCATGTTGGCACAAGCAAGATCCAGGCAGGAGCCGCTTGCACAATTGGCAGACGCTGCTTCAACGCTCCACGCTCCGGGAAACAGTGATGAGATTTGTTCCACGCATTTCCTAGTTGCATGTTGGGCTCTGACGTTCTTTTTCTTTAGCTGCAGGACTGAGGATGCCGCCTTTTCCACCAATCAGACCTTTGCCAAGAGGACGGTAGTTGTCCAAAAGCCTCCTATCCACTTCCATAATTGTCTCTCGGAGGGTACCCTCACAAAAGACAAACACTGAACTTGAACTGGACGTGACCCTCTGGAAAATTATTTTACTCTAGCAGGGAGGCCCTTCCAGGTTCCATGTGTTGTATTGAGGGTACCCTACCAAAACAACTACGGACAGTACGGAACCTTACAAGGGAACTTCTTTTAGGTTCCGTGATAGGTTGTACAGAGGGGAACAAGGTGTCTCTCGGAGGCTTGCATTTCGACGGTGATGCCAGGCTAAGGAGAAGGAGGGCGGCAAGAAGAAGGGCAAGAAGTAGAGGCGGGCGGGGGTGTTTGTGTTGCATGCCTCTCCTTGAATGACTCTCACTCCCTTGAGGGGAGGAGGCTGGGTTCTCGTGTGTGTTGAAGTCCATTCGGACATTTTTAGGTGCAGATTTCCCTCCTGTGCCATCTTCAGGTCCAACTGATGGACATGCGCGCTGGATGATGCCCCCCGACGCTGAAGAGGAAAAGGAGGCACCTGCGCGCTGAGTCGACGGTTATGAAGGTGCCATCGCCGGCTGTTTCTGCCCAGCAACTGTGACTGCATATTTCTTTTCGAAACTGCTGGTGGAGGACGAGCACTGCGTTGAGGCGTCAGGGGGTAAAGCCGTGCTAGTTGGCGTGGGGAATCCCCTGCCTGTGCTGTTCTAGGCCTGTGGACATACGTGTGCGAACTGTCCAGTTGCTTCAGATTGCGAAATGTTCGGTTGCTTCTTGCTCGGGATTTTGGCGTGTGCCGTACATGTAAAGTGCCGCGCGGTCGTATGCTGAAGCGGGTTGGCCCTGGCCAGGTTTGGAGTGTTTCATTGCCAATGACCGAATTTACAAGTACCGAAGGCGTTGATTGGCGGCCTGTGGTGGTGCCCAGCACTCTCCTGTTTTGGCAGCCTGCATCTTTGCCGTCGGTCGGCCGCGGACCCTGCGTGCCAAGCCTGGGTCCCGAAATGTCCTGTCGTCCGTGAACACATCGGCGCATTTGCTTGCCCAAGTGCGTGACCACCACGCTTCAGCCGGTGTTGGACAGCATCCTGTTCGTCTGCCATCCAAAGGCTCAGAAGGGGGCCAGAGTACCCATAAGAATAAGAGAGTGACGTCCGGAACATTACGCAACAGCAGATAGCCCTAAGTGCTTCTAAGGTCCTTAGATGGTTCCATGGTTTCCAGGGCATAGATCTCAAGAAATGCTTGATGTAGGTGCCAAGTGCACCAGTTCAGTCACTTTGCAAGAGGTCCAGTCAAAAGTCTATGGGGTGACTACTCAGGAGACCCATGTCCATGGTACCGTACTGTGGCCTACATAGACTTGCAGAGCCGCATCGTTCTTTGTCCTTGGTCAAAATGTGTCACCCCTGAAGGAACCACGAGTGAATTGGGCAGATAAGGTTGTGTCAATCTTTGATGAGCATCACCGTCTTTTCTCTGTTTCACATTCCCCTGTTTGGCTGATTTGAACATCACCTTTGGAATATTTGGAAAAGTGCCTCTATGATCCAAGGATGATCGCTATGGTGAGCTTACGCAGCTGAGCTTCGCGCATTCGTTTGGCCCCAGCAAGAGCCACATGGGAAGCCGAAATCGTGTGTCATTGGCATGGACATGGCACTTGAGTGTGACACAGACAAACATGTGGCTCCCAGGGCCCCCCCTTGAGAGAGCATTGCTGTGCGAAGTTCAGATTGTTAGACAGGCTGCGTGTATCATGACATCAAAGGCAGATAAGTTACGACAAGTCATGTTTGGGTCTTGCAGGTGTGCACCGGCATGCTACGGTGATGCCCCAGTGATTGCCATGTAAAGACTCTCTTTCATACTCAGATCCGATTTGATGTTGGCACATATTGAAGCCACTACTGGCTGTTTAGGAATTTGGTCTGAGCTGAACCAATCTTGCCCTAGCCCGGGGTAAGCCTGATGCCCCCCCCCTGGCTATTGAAGGATTCAGGTTTGTCTCCAAATTGTGAACCCTCCACAAACCTTTTTGACGTTCGGTCTGGGATTTGGTGTCTTCCCTTTTTCAGGCACGGCCCAAGGGCATCCGCCATGGCCCCGGCTTCCATCCGCCGGGTCTCCGTGGCGTGCCCCCAGCTGCCGCCCGCGCCGCCGGTGCCCACGGTGGTGGCGCTGGCGCTGCCGCCCAACGACTCGCTGCCTCAACCGGAGTCCAAGAACCTGAGGCGAGTGGCCGGGTTTCGGGGGGTGCGGGTAAATAGATCAAGCGGGTGGGAAAAAACATACAATTAGAACAAGGCAAGAGATATTTCAGGGGGAATCACATTGGTGAGTCAAGCAGTGCTTGATCCACTGTGATTCATTGGGTGCCCGTTGGTTACCTTCTCCCAACATGGTTTTGATTGGTTTGCGGGAGGTTTGGGTTGTCTGGCTGGTTACCTTTCGGTTTCTCCAGAAAGGGTACTGTACCGAGCCTAGAAGACACACCCAGGTTTGATTTTTGGGCGTGAAGGGGGGTGCTGTTGCTTTTGTTGGGGTGCTGCTTTTGTTGGAGAGGGTCGGTTGTTGTGGTCCAGGTGGTTGTTGTAGCGGCTTGTTGCTTCGGGGGTATTCGGAGCGGTTGAGCCGATCAAGACCCAAATTCACAGGCAGCCTAGTGGGTTTTGCCGACTGGTTTACTGGCGATTTGAGTGAGTCGAAGCACGCGCGGGGCGTGGAGGTGGATGGGGTGAACTGCTGATGGTTTTTTACTGCCAGGTTTGCACGCGATTCAGCTGGGTTTGTCTCCAAGTAGAATGGGTTCCCTTTCAAGCTTTTAACGCGTGCCCTGCATCTTCAGACACACCTTGAGCGTGGCCGCCAGGGAGGGGTTAAACAAGGAGGGCTGGAAATGTACTGCAGTGGCTGTGGGTGCCTGGGACCCACAATTTGATTTTGGTCGCTTGGCCATCTTCGGCGCTTATTCCCATGAAGCTCCACAGGCGCTGCCTGCCAGGATCATCCTGCAGACTTTGCGCAGCCAAGAGGCGCTCGAGGTGCAGCGCTTCGGGTGCCAGGCCATCCGTGATCTGGCCGGGGGCCCGGAAACCGCTGCCAAAAGCCGCCAGGTCGACCAGGTGAGGGTTGGAGAGGTGGGGTCTCTTAATAATCGTACCATGCATTCGCGGGGGGTCATTAAAACTAGAAGACAGGTGGCCCGAAAGCATAATGCACAGTGACAAGCGTGTCTGTTGGTGTGCTCTTGTATGTGCCAGTAGCTGCAGACCTTTCTGTAGCCTGTCGACCTGTCAAGCCGCGTGGCGCCGCACAGACCACGTCAGCCGCTGGCGCATGAGAGCTTGTCAGTGCGGGTGACTGCAAGCAGAAATCAGCCCGCGTCTAAATCAACATGCCCACCAAGCCGATGACGTCGGCTCGCTCGGAGGCGTGGTGCTCCCGCAATCCAAAGTCAGACCTTGCCGTCGGGAACCGCGCGAGCGCATCCCCATGGCCGAGGCATGACTCTCGGCCATGGCCGTGGGCTTCACCTTCTCGCCCTCGGACAGGTCGCAAAAGACTGCGAAGAACTTGTTCTTGGAGAGCTTTGGGCTGACTGAGAGCGTCTCCGCCGTAAAGGCTTGCCCCTTTCCACCAGACCCAAGATCCCTTGCTCAACTGTCCGTGCATCTCCTTGCTTTGAAACATGGAAATGCTGCGGTATAGGACGCAATGTCACGACAACATCTCGGCTGCTCTTTCTTCGTCAGGCAAACTCTTCAGGCTCTTCAAGCATCAAATAAAAGCAATGCAAGGGATGCTAGCGGAGTGGTTGCCCAGAACAGGAGGAGGTGTTGCTTGTGTGCTGTTCGCATGCAGCACTTGGCCGCCGCATCTGTCAAACTCTTCCAGCATCAAATGCAAGCAAGTGAAACGGACATGCAGGGATGTTGCCCAGGAGGAGGTGTTGCTTGTGTGTTGGCCCGAACTTTCTCTGAACAAGTTGCTTAGTGCAAGTCGCTCTGTGCAAGTTGCTGTGTGCAAGTTCCTCTGCGCATGCGCTCAGCGCACGTTGCGTTGCACAAGTTGCTCTGCGACTCAGCGCAAACTGCTTTGTGCAAGTTGCTCTGTGAAAGCGCTCTGTGCAAGTTGCTCTGCGCGAGTGCCCGCTGGAGCTAAGGGAGTGTTCTTCGCGTACCACTTTCGTACTTACTGCGGGAGTCCACTTCGCGTACTACTTTTGTGCTTGAAAGTTAGGACAAATTCGCACGGCGCCACGGCGAGAGTGCTCCGACGCGCGCGATCCCTGCAGAAGGCTCGCCGAGCACTTTGCAAATTCACACGGCGCCACAGCGAGAGCTCGTCGACGCGCGCGATCCTCGCAGAGGGTTCTGCAGGTACTTTGCAAATTCGCACAGTGCCGCAACGAGAGCGCTTGCAACTCAAAAATCGCAAAAAGTTCGCAGTTTCTGGGCATCGATCACGACGGTCCCCGGAGAGGGTTGCGCTGGCGCCCCGAGAGTCGCAACACATCAACCACCCCGATCCCGCAGATCGTCGCGCGGGCAACTCAAAAATCGCAAAAGTTCGCAGTTTCTGCATCGATCACGCCGGTCCCTGGAGCGGGTTGGACCCTCCAACATGGGACAAGCAGCTCTTGAAGCAACGATGAAGGATGTCGACTGCTTTTCTCGCTCTTGAGCATTGTCTTTTTATAACTGATTCGTGGCTGACCTTGCGCCTCTTCCTGTTGTTTGGTGACGGCGGTGGTGGCAGCAAATGTGGTAGCGCCTGCAATGGAGTTGCGTTTGCTTATCAGCCTTATTCGGGCTAAATGAGTCAATGTAGAAGTAATCCCCCCAAAATTGGAGGGGACATCCAAAATGAATCCACCAGGGGCTTATGGCGGCCGGCCAGCCCAGATCCCGAGAAACTTTCCCAAGGCACAGATGATAGAAGGAACACACACCCGCCAGGCGGTGAATAGGCATCAAGCAATGCTTGCTCCATATGCAGTTGCTGGGAAAAAGGTTAAGCAGAGAGGGAATGGACCAACAAAAAGAGCACCATTTTTGGACATCAGCTCCGCCATTCTCACCATTCCCCCTCCCCCCACATGTAAATGGATTTGGCAGCGCAAGAACCACATGTTTGGGCTGCGTCTCATACGCAAAGACATAAACGCGTGCGCGCACACATACAGCGCCTGTTAGAGAAGCAGGGTCAACAGGCACACGGTGTGGGATTTGTTTGTGACAAGACATTCGACTTATAAAAGTGAACCACTCTCCACTGAAACCTTACTTGCCGCTTCTGTGCTCCCATGCACTTTTCATGTTGATAGGAAGGCATAACTCTGGGGTCGCCTCCAAACGATTTCATGTTTCAGGGTAGGCCAGATATGCACGTATGAGTTTTGGACCCGAGATGGCTATCCCTAAATTGCGATTTGGTCACGTCCGACAGCGCGCCGTTGGATCGGATGTCCCAGGCCGCGGCCAAGTCGGAGGACCGGCTCTGGCTGGGGAAGCTGGGCGCCGTGGAGCTGGTGCTGCAGGCCGGTCTCTTGCGCTTGTTCCAGAGAGCTTCTCCTATCGAAATGAAACGAAGGCTCGGCTTTTTGTTTGGGTTGTCGCAGGATTGTTGTTTTCGGGATTGGGGAAACATATTGACCGAATGGTTTGGTTGACACATATAGGAGACTACGAGCTCCATTTGGAACCAACGAGCGGCGGCCAAGTAGGTACGTGTTGATTTGTTTGACAACAGCTCGTATGAAAACGCGGATGGGATGGGGAATTCTTTCGTAACGCAAATGGGCCGGGAACCGGGAACCTGACGCAGGCCAATGACTCTCATTCCTGTGTCGCGTGCGCGTGCGGCGAACAAACGCAACTTAATGAGGTCTTGACTCGTTGCTGACAAGGGCGAAAGTTGAACATATTGTTCTGTGAATCGAGGGAAAGGGATGAACACTGTTCTGTTGAGAGGCAGTGATGTTGAGCTCGGAGAAGGAGGCAACTGAAAGCGAACGTGTGGGGCTGACCAGGTTGCAGTGTTGGATGTGCCAGGAGGAAGCAGTCCTGGTACCAAGGCCTACCGATGGCCACAAGAGTGAAAGCAATCGACTTTTGAACGTGGGCCTGTACCACGTGTTTGAGCGCGTGGTGAGGGACAGATGTGATTGATGTATTTGGACATGTTACGCAGCCCAGTTGTCGGTCTTCAATGTTTGCCACTTTTGTTTGCTATAGGAGCGGGCACGAGTCAGCCTGCAACCCGTAGCGAATGGAATGCGACTGAAGTGCAAGCCCAGGCTGATGAGATTTTTTCGAAGTTTAGGCAGAGATTGCTTCGAGCCGAAGTAGGCGACTCCTTCAGCGAAAGCGGGTTTTGGTCGTGTTTGCCAAAGCCCCAGTCGGGCGTAACAGTAGCTGGTTCTCTTGGTAGAACCAACAGTCGACGGTCCATCAGTAGTGGTGCCAGATTTGGGGATTACGTTCTGGGGTCTGTTACAATCCCCAAGTGCAGGTTGGGAGGTTCCCAACCCAAAACCTGCGGGCGTGGCCGGACTTCCATGGGGGGGCAGCCATGAACTGCAGGCGATGCGCTCCTTTCAGGAGGACATGCAGGCGTTCCGGGGCAATGGGAAGTGACAAATATCCCGGTCCCTGCCCAGTTGGGGGATTGGGGAAGGGCACTCTTGCTGTTGAGCTGGGATCAAGAGTTGCGCGGCTTGGCGTTCGACATGTTTGTTTGTATCTTGAATCACTGAAATATTTTTTGGAGTGGGCAGAAATCTTCATTGCTTCAATCCATGCACGCAGGGCTTTTCCTGGGCAGTGAATTGATGGAGTTCCTTCAGTGCAAAGCCTTCTCTCCGATTTGACTTGGGCGCCTAGTTTTCGGGCAGGCGGTGGGGTCATGCTAACGGGTTGGCGACGTTACGGAGAAGCACTGTTCCCGCAGAGGTTGTTTTGGTTTGACATAGCAGCCGCAAAAAAAGGGCAGTGCAAGGATGGGGAAAGGGAGTTAGACGGTCTGATATCGTGGCCACGCCCAAGCACCAGCTCCTTACAGATCCAGTCCGATGAAAGCTCTTATTGGACGCCTCCTTCACACATTCCCTGTAAGTGATATTCGAATATGTGTGATCTGGACTCTTTTCGGGCGACGCGCTGCCACAGTCAGTGCAACGGCCAAGCCCTTCGCCAAACCCAGCCCTAACAACTCACATAGCCATGTCGAACGTCTGGGCCAAGAATCTGGTCCCCCATTCATGTGTGACACCTGGATTCCCTTGACTCGTTCAGCAGGTGGTTTTGCATCACTTTCCTAAGATACGGGAGCCCTTGTTTTGTCAAGAGCCAGGAGACTCCAGGCACACGGTCTGCGACTAGTCATGTTTTGTTAAGACATATATATATATATATATGTTGCTCCTGTCCTTTGCCGACCAGGTTTGTAGAATTCCCCGACAAACTTAAACGCTGCAAGGGTTTCAACGGCAAATACCTTACCTCCCAAACTCCAAAGCCACACATATCCGGGCAAGAGCTGGGGAAGGGCGGGCGGAGGGTTGTGCCCAGACCTCCGGTGGCACGGACCTCGCTTGTCCACATCAACCATGACTCTTGTACACGTGCCGCTTGCTGGCAGTGCGGTGCATCAGCTGGTGTATCAAGTGGCAGGCATGCGGTTCTGCGTGCGCTCAGTTGAGCGGGCGTGCCTTCTCATTGGGCAGGCATGCGAGCAATGTGCGCAATGCGCGAAAGCAAGACCAGCATGTGCGCAGGTGAGTTTTTTGTCAGTCAGTTCGTAGAACAATTTGTTGCTTGCAAGTCCTCTCGGCTGACAAAGTGCGCACGTGAGTTGCCGGACGCGTGCGCAAAGCGAGCCCACTTCCCCAATGCCCGTTTTCTGTGTGTCAGCTCCCTTTTACAGCCAGAACAGAGAGGGATGCCCTTCTCTTTCCCCTTGAAATCCTCTTTGATCCCATGCGTGGGATCCTCTCGCTCCCCGCCCAGTCATCTTTGGGCCAGGTGCAGCAGGCGGGGTGCGGGGCCTTGGCGGCGCTAGGCTTCGAGTGCGAGGTGAACGCCCAGCTGGTGCTGGAGCACGGGGGCGCGGAGCTCGTGGTGCGGGCCATGCTGGGGCCCCTTGGCTTGGGACCCCTCTGACTGGAGCTACGCCGATTTGCGCGGACAGTCCCAGTTGGTGCGGAACCCCGGCACTTCCGGGCTTTTCATTCTTTACACTTGCGTAGGCACAGCCTTTTTGACACCCGTGATTGCGACTCGCGCGGCCCTGCGTTCGTTCACTCCACGAGCCCCGTGTGAACCGTAGCACCTTCCCACCAACGTGGAACCTGCCAGAAGGCCCTTTTAGAGGAAATGGTCCGCCCGCAACTCCAATCAGGTTCCGTGTCAATTGGTAGGATGGAAGTTCGGATCTCTTTTGACATGTCTTAGACATTTAGGTTTACCAAACAGGAACCAGAATCAAACATACTTTTTGGTGCTGGGCAAACATCTCGGGTAGATTTGCACACTCCTTTTGTGGTTAATGAATCTGAACATATTCATTCCTGAGAGCCCTATGAACCTCGTTTGTGGGGGGCTCACTTTCGGCGCTTTCAGAAGCTTATGGATTGTCTTTGGAACGCATCAAACCTAAAACTGGGTGCAGGAGTCTAGGCATTCTTGGGCGCTACAAGCAATTGACCCCCCCCTGTCTTGTACCATCCGCTCAAACGGCTGCGGCCGGCGGGATCGGGAGGGGGCGGCTCGCGTTTGAGGCACCTAGAAGCGGCGGTCTGGGGCCCGGGCTGCGGGGCGCTGCGGATGCTGTCGGCATTGGCGCAGGCGCGGGAGACCTTGGCGCGGCTGAAGTGCGTGGAGGTGCCTTCGATCGGCCGATTGGGGGAGGTCAGGCATCAAGACGACGGCCAACGTACTAAATCAGCAGCAACATCATTCTCACACATCCCCTCCGCCGAGCACCCATCCTTCGGCCTTGGCTTGTTCTGAGCAGGGAATTTGGTAGCGACCCTGTCAAACTATTCGGTTTCCAAGAACAGGCACAAGGGGTTGACTGTTCACCCCCTGAGCCCACAGCTTTGTTCAGGTAACAACTCAGGTTGATCGGCACTTTACACATCCACGGTGTGGGTTGGCCTACTATGCGCCGCTACATTAAACTATTAAACTGGACTTGGCCGGCTTGGCCGCCTTGCTTCAACCAACTTCGGTTGATGGACCCCTCAGAACTTATCAACTCCTGATCTTGATTGATCAAGGAACTTACTTTGTGGGCCCCCAACCAAATTGATGACTCATCCAGTTTTCTTCCTGTGCCTCAGTCAACGCACGCCACTTCCAACTGCCCAGACCATCCAAGTGCCCTCCCCCCATTCCCGTCATGTGGAAGCGCTCATGTTATGCACGTTTATATCGGAGCTTGGACAACTGCAAAAGAAGCCCCAGGGAATTTTGATTTGAGAGGGTGCGGGTTTATTTGATTTGATAGAGCTTTTGTTCTCTGGCCATTTCGCTGGACAATTAACACCATGAGCCCTTCAGTTAGCTTGGTGATTTGCATTGGGGGGATCCAGTCCACATGGCTGGCATGACTCGAGGTTCGGCCGGTCTCCTAGCAAGTTTGCTACATTTAAGCAGCGGTGCCCTTTTTTTAATTCTTGTCCTGCTTCATTACCCGCAAGGAACCCCTAAAGGTTGCCCCCCCCCCAACACCTGTCCATACGATCTTTGCTTCTTAGAAACAAGCAGCAGAAAGCAATCTTCGGGGCTTTTCAGTCCCACTTCGGTGAGTGGCTGCCGCCGCTGTCTATACACTCCTTCTGGGAACTATCATCTTCACCAAAGGATTCCCTTTTCTTCCCAACGGCTGGGGTGGTTTCGCGTCGCCGAAGGTAGTGCTGCAGGTGCTGAGAGAAGCGCCTGCGGCCGAGCAGGCAGCAGGGATCCGGACTGGGCACTTTAGCGACCATTTTGGTAGTTGGTTCTACTACCTGCGGGCTCCGGGCTCATCTTGCTTGGAAAGCAGGTTCTTTTTTGATGTCAAAAGCAAACTGGAGGGGACTCACAAGCTATTCGACTCAAAGATCTCATGCCCTTTCGAAGCAAGCGGCCCAATCTAAAACCGGGTTCCAGAGTTCCCGTCCCAGGATATGGGTTTGTCTTAAAATGCGGGACCCGCAACATGGGCGAGTCCGCTTTATTCCCTCAAAAGGCACAAAAAGGTACCCTCAAAAGCGCGCACACACACACACACACACACGCAAGATTTTGGGATATGTGGGCTTGTCAACAAGATCGGGGGTACCGCCCTTGGGGAAAACAATTTCTGGCTTCATTTTCAAGACAAAAGGGCGGGTGCAAGAGAGATTTCCATGCACAGGCCATTTGGAGGCAGTCCCTGGTTTTGATGCATTCCAATGTAGTGGCAAATCGCTCCAGCAATGATTCCTGCCCTTAAAGTTTTTGAGCTGCTGCAACCAGCCATGTCCGCTCGTGTGGTTGCCGCTGTCTGGTGAGACAGCAGTGCCAGATCAAAGAGAGTGCTTCACCATCTATTGGGATGTGTCAAAACTAGCCTATGTTGGCGTGGTTTTGAAACGGAGTCAACATGAAGCCAGATCACCGGAAGGCGTCTGTGGTTTTGACCGCTAAACAATTAGACATGGGGTCGTGTGGGACTAAAACCACATCAAGGCAGGATCACAAGATAATCATGTGTGTAATTGTCCTTTTTGATAACAACAATGATAAAGTCAACAGGTTTTGCGCCCGCTCATGCATCCTGTGGCCCCTAACTTTTCCCACGCACGCGCGCGCTCACACGCGCGCACGGGTGGGTGGGTTGGGGTGGGTGGGTTGGGGTGGGTGGGTTGGGGGTTGGGGTGGGTGGGTTGGGGTGGGTGGGGGTGGGTGGGTTTGGGGTGGGTATGGGTGGGTGGGTGTGGGTGGGTGTGGGTGTGGGTGGGTGTGGGTGAGTGTGGGTGGGTGTGGGTGGGTGTGGGTGGGTGTGGGTGGGTGTGGGTGGGTGTGGGTGTGGGTGGGTGTGGGTGTGGGTGGGTGTGGGTGGGTGTGGGTGGGGGTGGGTGGGTGGGTGGGTGGGTGTGGGTGGGGGTGGGTGGGTGTGGGTGGGTGTGGGTGGGTGTGGGTGTGGGTGGGTGTGGGGGTGGGTGGGTATGTGTGGGGGGGTGGGTGTGGTTGGGTGTGGGTGGGAGTGGGTGGGTGTGGGTGGGTGTGGGTGGGTGTGGTTGTGGGTGTGGTTGTGGGTGGGTGGGTGGGTGGGTGGGTGTGGGTGAGGGTGGAGTGGGTGGGTAGGGGTGGGTGGGTGGGTGGTGGGTGGCGGTGTGGGGGCGGTGGGACAAGCTCCGAGTCAGCAAGTGCAAGAAGGGAGACAAGTGGGGAGACAAATGGAACACAAGCTCCGAGTCAGCAATCGCAAGAAGGGAGACCAGCGGGGAGACACGTGGGGAGACAAGCTGTGACAAGCTCCGAGCCAGCAAGCGCAAGCAGGGAGACAAGTGGGAGACTGGGTGGGTGGGTGGGTGGGTGGGTGGGTGGGTGGGTGGGTGGGTGGGTGGGTGGAAACAGGTCCTTTGAGTTTCCAGTACCAACCCAAAGATTGTGGAGTCATAGTGCCAACACAGGGGCTGTTCCATTTCCGCAAGGGGGGAACTGGACCTCGCCTCAGGTACAGGGAGCTGGCTGCGCGGCGCCGGCCCCAAGCTTCTTCACAGTCGGCATTCTGCATGTCTCAGTTAGCCCTCAGTTTCACCGGGCCCCTCAGCTTCACGCGTGGGGAGCTTGTGTTGATTGCCTGTACTAGCATGAATTGCATATTCCTGCACCCCTGGGGCTATGCCACATTTTACCCTCCTGGGGTTGATGCCCCAAATAAACAAATCAATGCAGAGGCTGATTGGAAACCAGGCCGCAAAGCTGGGGTAGCTAGTTTGTTGGGTTGTCACACACACAAACATTTTCTTCTTGTGTGTTTGGTTTCCTTTTTGGCTCACCATTCCAAAGGGTCCGGAGGAAGCGCGGGGGACCTACTGCTCGATCTACTGCATACATGCTCAGGATTTGCATGAACTAAAGCTCTTTCTGCTGGTACATGTTCTGCTGTGGGCCCGTCTCTCCCAGGCCTTGTCAGGTTATTTACGGCAGTCTCACCGCTGTGCTATGGATGTCCAAGCACGCAGGGATGCTGGAATTCAGCCCAAAATAACATCTAACAGATAGACCCGAGTAGTAATAACAAGGTGTGTTTTGCTTAAATATTCCGGGATTCTCAGAGCAAATCGCTTGTGAGCTCGGCTGGATATGGGCAAACGCTTGTTTCCGGCTTCCCGCCGAAGGAGGTTGTTTAAGCAGTGGCTTAATAGGCGCATACCTAGCACAAATCAGCTCCATGCCGACCCGAACCCGCCCAAAGAGGGTTGGTTCCATTGCTCCTCAGGTGCTGGGCCGTTTGACCGCCTGCGGCTCGGAAGATCTCGCGCTCTGCGCCACTTTGGGCGCAGAGCGCTGCGCCATTGGCGCGCTGAAGCAGTTCCCAGAGAGCGCGGAGGTGCAGGCGACGATCTGCGAGTGAAGATGAACCACAGTTCCATTCTTCGACCCCAAGGTAGAAGGATGAGTTCTTTCTGATTTTACGAGGGCTGGTTGGCGTGGTTGATGTGGTTGATGTGGTTGATGTGGTTGATGTAGTTCCATTATTTGACTAATCAATTGTAGACTAATACCCAGGGTTAATCTTTTGGGGAAATCAATAAGCTGGGTTTAAGTCTAGTTTGTGCGGCAACAAATGGAACAAAATCAACCACTGGGTTTGACAGGCATGGCTATAAAGCCCTCTTTTGGTGGCTTGAATCACCTTCTTGTACCCAAGGGGATTTCCATGGAAGGCGATGTTGTTCTACACTCGCCGGGGTTGCCATAGTGTTCAAATGAGGGCACGTCTGGAGTGTCCTCCTTTTTGGGTTGATTCCCCAACTTCACGGCCCTGCCTGGCTCCAATTTCACCCGCGTGAGGCGTGCGCCATAGCGCTTTTGGGGAACTTGGCCTGCGGCGATTGTTTGGTGGAGGGCGGGGCGCAGCTGGCGGTGGCGGCGCTGAAAAGGCACCTGGCCGCACCAGAGGTGCAGGACGGGTGTCTTTTTTCCCGACACCAGGGTCTCCTCCAAAACTGGTTGATGTGTTATTGAGGATTAGTACATGAAACAGAGTCAGTAATTTAATGTGTACCCCAGATGTGGGCCAAGGACAGCTGAAAGCTATGCGGTCTTTGCCCCAGATGGGGTCTGGGGTGGTTCGGAGTGGCTCTAGGGGTTTCGGGAGGGCTCTGGGGGTTGCTGTTGGGGATATCACCTGCATTTGTTTGTTGCCGAACCATGCGGGTGTCTCGGGTCTTCTCCTCGTTTTTCAACGACATGTTAAGGAAGGCCAAATATAGGACAGAGTCCGAACATATGATTTGCTGTGTATTCCAGATACCCCTAGATGTGGGCCAAGCTATGTCTTTGTAAGAGCTTCGATGCAACTGGACCATGCCTGATGTACAGGGCATTCAAGTTGATATATGGCGTCTTCGCCGTCTGACCCAGTCGACTGTCCAAGTGCCTCGCTGGCAATGCAGAGTTGATGCTTCGGTGTCCACAGCCGATCTACCAGTACGACTGGCTGAGATGTCTTACTGTGAATTTGGAGTGTGGGCTAGCATTCTCTGAAGACTATGCGTGTCCTTATTGATCCTACAGGTGCCTGTGAACATGACTGCAAATTAACAATTGCGAATGGCAACTGGTTTGGTCCTTTCTGCGCAGTTGTCGCCACTACTCACAGGGCACTCAGATCTCAAAAGTGCACGTAGCCACGCTGAATCCGCGGATGCTTTTTTTTGCTCACAACGCACAGGATGGTAGCTGGCGGAGACAAACGATGTCAAAAAAGACGCGGAGCCAACTAACTTGAATCGAGCTGCCTGTCTTTAAGCCGCCCTGGGCAAAATGTGCCTACATCCGAGCGTATCATCGACGAACCCCACTCCAAAAGCACCACGTTGTTGTAAGAATTGTGTACGTTTCATTACGATCAACGTGAACTGGTCCGGCGGGCGGCGACAAGAAGCGTGGATGGTCCTTCACTTGGGGCTTCCTTGTTTTCAGTTCGTAAGTTCAAGATATTTGCCCAGATTGGTTGGGTGTGCGAGTTATGTTTTTTTTTGCAGGTTCAGGCAACTCTTGCTTGGTTGCTTGGATTGCTCGTGTGGGAATTTGAACCCTTGGTTCGTGTTGTAGAAACATGGGAAAGCACTGAACCTCCAAATCACCAATCCAGACCACCCATTGGAGGGAAGCTGGCGGTTGGCTGGTTGCCATAGCCCTCAATGATCTATTGGCACCCCGCATTTGGAGTGGTTTCTGTGCGTTGTGCCGCTTTCGCTTGGGATCGGTACCATCGGTTTGACTTGTCGCAACAAGGGGGGGTTCACCCAAGAAGAGTTTCAGTTGAAACTGGAGCTGTTCGAGTGCCATTGGCGCTCCAGGACTGTGCCATCCACGCCCTGCGGAACATGTGCCTGCGCAGCCACTCTGCCCTTGCAGAGGCACCTTGGCATTTTGAGTGCTTCTCAAATGGAAGAGTTGGAGCCTCAAAAGTGGTTGGTGGACGTTCCCACCGAGTTTTGATGCCCACCCCATGGTCCCGAATCGATTTTCATACCCAAATGACTTTTGGAAGTTGTTTCCCTGTAAACGGCCACTAGCTAGGGTAAATGTGAGAATGTCACTTGAATGGATGCAGCTTCGGAAGGTTGCAAGCCTTCAGTGGTATTAAGCATGCAGGCTCGGGGCCGCCATTTGGTTGTTTTCGCGGTCGTCCTTTGACCGGTGCCTCAAAGTGGCTGTGGGTCAAAAGGTTGCAAAGCTCGTTTGACTGGGCGACAGTGTCCTTGTTTCGTAAGGACTCGCTCTTTGTTCCTTGTGTTTCTCACTGCCTCGCCGTGCTTGTGGGTGGCCTTGCGGCTCGAAGTGGGCGCACTCGGAAAAGAATGATTGCCACTATATGCACTCCTGGCGAAGCCACCTAGTACGAAGTTAGTTGTTGCAAAGCTCGCCATGAAGGGTACCTTCATCATTTGTCCTGTCTAGCTGTCAGATTTCCACAATTAGTCCTACCCACACTCTCACCAATCTTCACCCCTCCCCCGCAACAAGATTTTCTCTTGAGCTCAGATTCAGGCTCAGATGCTGAAGTTCCATACGAGGGTTTCTCAGGCTGGTGGACCTCCTTGTGGTTGGTATTTTCAGGGACGCCAAAAGGAAACCGATCTTTGGATCAGCTATTGTTCAGAATTTCGTTTCGGGTTCGTTTGGGCGACCAAATCAACCCGAATAACCCGAGTGGCCCGCGGCTCGGCCCACGGAGGCCGCCGGCGCCGGGGCCTTCAGGGCCCTGGCGGGGACTTTGGGCGCGGCCGAGGGGCGCCGTGACGACCAGGTGGGGGCGGCGTGGGCTTTTGTGTTTTCTGTTGAGGGGGCTTTGGGGGGGGGTGGGGGGAGTTGGGGTCTCCTTTTTGCTCTCATTGCCGTCACCGGCACCGCTACCAACAATGGCAGTTCAGGCCTGTGCTGGAAACACAGGAGCAAAGGGTTCCCCTGAGCTGCCCTGTTCAATGGCTAAACATGTAGGGTCAACAGGACCACCATCAGAGAATGTGGCAGCAGCATTTATGTTTGAGGTTGAGAAGCATATGAATCAGAATCGGAACAATGTTATGTTTGGATATGTTTAGTGTTCCCCGGGGTTGGACCAAGTTCATCCTTAATTCTCATGGCCCACGGTTTCCCTTGTTGTAGCGGTGTGATTCTGGATTGGGGTTGTATAGGGACCCCCAGCAATCCGATTTTGCTGCGGGATGACGTGAGAGCACCTGATATGCTTTACTTGGGGCTAAATGAGCAGCCCTCAGGAAACGAGGAATCTCTTTGGGTTTTGAGCAAAAAGCGGCCACTCTATCGAAGGTATGTTTTTTGTTGACCAGGTGCTTTGCAACTGAATATTTCTCCTGACAAGCAGCATCCCAATTTGGGTCGTCTTAGTGGTTTTATGGCCGCCGATCACAATCGACAGTGATTGAAGCTTGGAGTGGATTTCATTGACAGACTGTGGGACCCATCTCCCTCAGGTACACACTCCTCTCGTCCATCGACTGCAACTAAGACCAATACAAGATGGACGAAGAGATATGAGAGTGTAATCAGCCGTCTCTATTCATCAGCCATCTCCTCGTTGTAGTGGTTAAAACCCTGAGAATTAGACGGCGGTCACGCGACAGCTTTATCCTACCTGCAAGTGTTGTGCTTTGATCCCAGGTTCCATCTCTTCGTATTCCATCATGGGACAGCCAACCCAAAAGTGACCCCAAAGTCAAGCTGCTGTCGATCGAACCCCAAATCATGTCCAAACCGACCCTTCACCAATTCAAATCCAATTCACTCCAACGCCCAATCCCGTGTTGCGCCGCAACTCAATTTACCTGGTCTGTCAATGATTTCCCATTCTGGCAAAGCTGCTACATCCAATTCTGTGCGACTTTGGCCGCTGTTGGCCATAGCTTATTTTCCCTTGAAGAGGGCCTATCTGGAACCTTGACTTTGACTTCCCTCCACTCACATCACTCCCTAGATTACAGCCATAAAAAGGGGGGCTTCAAAAAGTACATTGCTCTGCAAATGGTGGCTCTTTCAATTGCATGTTGATTTGGGCAGTCCCCCCAAAACACTCATGTCGTCTTGTGTCTTTGGGTGCAGCCCTTTTTTGGTTGAAGGGACACCAACAGGTCTCCACCCATTTCCACCTGGATATTTGTTGAGGATATTTGTTCGGCTTTCCAGACCCCATGTCCATGGGCCAGGTGCGGCTGCTGTCAACCTCTGTGCTGCATCTCTTGTGTGCCCAGGGCTACTCTGGGGCGGCACCTCGGTTTTTCGGGGATGGGTGGGTGGGTCAGGGCGGTACCCTTCTCAGGTTAAAGGGAAATCAAAGGAAGGCCACCGCTTTGGGGTCCCCTGGTTTGGACCACTTCTAAAAGGGACCGAGCCTCTGGTAGGTTCCACTGCAAAGCACGCCCAGGACTTTGTGGCTGCTGGGGGCCTCGTTAGTCTGCTGCCCGTGCTGGAGCAGTTCACCTCTCTTAGCGTCCAGGATGGGGGTGATGTTTTCTGTGCAGTCTTTTTCTCTGGGATCTTCCGCGGGGTTTTCCAAGGAAAAGCGCTCCCAAAGCGCCAACGGATCTTTGCACTGGATGCTTAGCATCAGGAGCAAATCGCCGTGATCCTGCAGAGCTGCTGGGCTGTGAGTCAAGAGGGAAACAGAGCCAAGGAGCACGTGGCAGTTGGACATACGTGTTGAGTTCTTCGGCTTGTGGTCAATGTTTGATGGCAAGGGCTTGAAATGAATAATTTTCCGAGCTGCTTGGATCGGCTTCATGTTCTGGCATGTCCATTTTGTTGTGTTACTCATCTATTTGTGATTGCAGTGACGCACTCCCTGCATCCGCTCTATTCGCGCGGTGCATTCAGCCACTTTCTGACTCTTTGAGTGCGTGCAGCTTTGATTCGCTGGCACGTGGCAAGACATATATTTTTAGGCACGACAGGACTATCTTGAGAGAGAGAAGCAGGTGAGATGGCCCTTCATGACTTGGAATGCTCGCCCTGGTTGTGGGGGTGGTGGGGTTCAAGGGCTATTGGTCTTTTGGTCTTTGGTTCCCAACATATGGGTCAATGACAGGAAACATTTGTCAACATGGGAGGTTGCCTCTAGCGCGGCCAATGCAAAGAAAATATCCACACAGGGGATGCACTTTGCCCGCAAACATGGGTGTGTTTGGGTTGTTACACCCCTGAAATCTCAGGTCCTCCGCCTTCGGAGACATGGTCCTCCGAGGCTTTGGAGCCGCCAGCGATGACCTGGCGGCGGTGCTGCAGCAGGGCGGGCTGCCAGGGATCCTCCGAGCCATGCGCGGCAGCCCAAGGGCGGGGGGCACAGGCGTTTTTCTTGGTCCGTCACTCAGATACTTAGAGCCGTAGTGACTCAGTGGGCCCCGTAGCAACCTGGTGACTGGTGCTTATTAGCGAACATTGGGGGCCAGTAAGGATCAAGGGCCATGGACCTCCCGGGGGAGCCCCTCTGGCTCTCCTATGACTCTGATCCAGTATTGGACTCGGCCGAAGCAACCGGAGTCTTACTCTGGGGTGCGTGTTGGATACCCCTTTTGCCCCCTTGGAAAGACAGAGTGCTAGTTGGTGGAATGCCCGGTTGGGGCCTCTAACATGTTGTTTAGACGGGCGAGTTTTTGTTCGGAGGTGCGTTGTTTCAATCTTGACTGTTCTCATGTTTCAGTTGGAGTAGAAAGGCTTGAACTGTTCATTCCTTGGGCTAGCTTGACGGCTGAACAACAGCAGGCTTCGTTGCCTGCGCGTTGTTGTCAGAACTCGGGTCGCCTCCAAACGTCAATGAGATCTTGAGAATCAGGCAGCTAGGCCTCAAGGAAGGGCTAGGGCTCCAAATGGGTCGACAGGTGCCAGTCTGGTAGGATCATCTTCCCGGGTTCCACCCCTTTGAGAATTTGAACCAACCAGTCTCAGAACCAGAACCAGCGAACTAGGAAATACGGGAAATTCCCCAAACACTCATTGGGGCCTAAGGGTTTGGCGAATTTCCTGCAAATGTTCCTGCTGATTTTTCAGACTACAAGAACTACTCCGGAGATTCGAACAAGGGATATCTCTGGGGTCTCATGCAAAACTAGTGTTTTTTTCAGAGTGGACTAAATATGGAACAGAATGTCCCTGGGTTTGAACAAAATAGCGGGTCTAGCCGGGTCTAGCCTACACTTCGACTGCAAAGTGTTGTTCCATTTGCTTTGCGTGATACAGTCCCGAGTTGTTCTGAGGGGGTATGCTTCCTGAAGTAAAGTATCCCCAGTAAAAAGAACCGAGGACATCTCAATGGTCAGTTTCATGCCGATTATTTTGAAAGCCGACCTGTCTCAATGATACACCCTCCAGCCATATTGGCCGAATTCACAGCTACAGAGATTAGTCATCCCTCGGGCCTGAAAAAAGCGCGGTCGGGCACATGTTGGTTTTCCTCTGTTGTCATGTTTTGGATTTTGGCCTATACCTGTGAGCAGGGGTTTTGCTAGCGCCCATTTTCAACCCACGCGACACCAGGCACCGGTACCCCGCGTCGCTGAAGATCCAGGCGTGGGTGGCGAGCGAATGGAGGGGGGGGGACCCCAACCACGACCTATGAGGGACCCTCCAGCAATCGGCAGGTCCCCTGCTTGATGGACCAATGAGTCTATTGTGACAGGTTCTCTTTGTTTTGTCTTGGGCGTTTTTGCTCCCATGCGGCCCTAGATATGGCACACACGCAGGAGACGGCTTGTTCGTTACAGATTTGCGGCTTCTTAGCATCGGTTCTAAGATTCACGGTGTGTTTAAAAAGGCTATCGTGTTGATCTGCTGGTGGGTGTCATGTCTGGTGCAGTGATGCCAACCTGGGATTTGGAGGCTGCGAAGTTCAGCGCAGACCTCTGGGACACCCAGCTTCGATGTCCAAGTCTCCAAGCCTCCAAGTTTCAGAACATCAGCTCGGGTTCCTGTACCTGTGACCTGCAGAGAGGTTGCCAAGCCAGGCTGCAGAGGGCTAGGGGGAAAAGAGCCACCCCAAAAAGCAAGCGTCACAAAAGGGGTTGTGTCACCCCATCATGAGACAGGAAGTACCAGTGAATGGACCCCCCGCCAAAATGCGCGGAACCCGGGCACCAATGTCTCCAATTCGTAGTTCTCTTTTCTGAAATTTGCCACAGCTGGCGTAGTTTAAACTTGAGAGTTAAGACAAGGCTCTTGGCGGATGCACGTTGCAACACTCCTTGCCCGTTTGTGATCTATCTCGTTTTGCTTGTGAAAGATGGCTGATTTGTATGCTCAGCCTTGTTAAATCAAGCAGTTCAGCCTAGCTCGCTGCACAATGGGTGCAAACGCGTGTCTGAACATTGACAAGTGCTTTGTCGCTTGTTTGTTTCATCACACAGATGCACGTGCGAGCCGTGTAAACTGGGATCCACCCATATGGAAGCCCAACCCATGGCTTGGCGGCAACTTGCTCGGGTAGGTGGGTAGATGGGTGGAGGCAGACCTGAGCAGCCCATCACCTCTATGCGCTCTTGCAGGTGTCCGGCTGCTTTTTGACATCCCGCTGGGCCTCAGGCAAAAGGGGGGGGTGCAGCACGAGCCTCATCTGGCCCAACATTGTGCTTGTTCTTTTAGTTTCCTTTCAACCAAGGCACCCCGCCCGCCCTTGACATGCTCAAAAATGAGACAACCAGGGTCACTACAGCCGCAGCTAGCCAAAACTGTAGGTTCATGTTGGTTCCTTCCAAACTCAATCTTTCGTGAGACCAGACCAGGTCATTTGTTTTTGGGTTTCGGGTTTCTGACAACATGCATCGCCCCCATTCCCCCTCAGCTTGCTTGTTCTTTTCTTCCTTGCAGTCGCCTCGGCCGTCTTCTAGATCACCAAGGCAAGGGATGTTGGGACAGATTCCGGTTGTGAGAGCAACCAAGCTTCTACCCTGCCGTCTCCTGAGCATTCCAATCAAGCTCATCGATTCGGAGGCAAAACGAGCTCGGCCATGATGGCGGGCCTTTTCTTGGGGTTTCTCCTGTCCGGTATGTGGATTAGGAATGCCTAGATGGGTCCTAGTATTCTCCCTTTTCTGGGTGAAGATCACCAGCGTCGTATTGATCTTGCTTTTGGAGCATGTTTAAAGGGGACCTGGGTTGGCCTGATAGCCCAAAAAGGCAGGTTTCGCTTTGAAGCCACGGGTACGAGCCTGAAAAGGCAAAGCCACGGGTACGAGCCTGAAAAGGCAACGCTAAGCATTGAAATTATCTTTCCTTTGGGTGATGTTTAAATGAGACATATCAAGACCCAAGGACCCGCCCTCAAATCAAGCTGACCATCAGAACCCCGTACTCATACTCCATACCCTCCAAAAACGTGCACAAGGACCCCAAAAAGGGGTGTTGCCCTCAAGCCTAAGGACTGCGGAAAAAAGCAATTGCCGAGCCTCATTTGGGTCAGAATGGGACAAACGACACCAAAATTGTCTTTTGGCCGTTTCCCTTGAAAACCCAAGGGTCGCCCCAGAAAAACCACGGCACCATCACGCACCCCGCTTCCGTCTCCCCGATGCCCCGATGCCTTGCAGGAAACGAGGCCGCGCAGGTGGCCGCGGACGGGGCAGTGGAGCTGGTGGTCCTGGCCATGCAGAACCACGCGGAGGCGAAGCGGCGAAGCGGCGCAGCGGCGAAGCGCCCGTGTCTTCTTTACGCATGTCTGAATTTGGGAAGTCAGGTCCTCGTCTGAATGTTGGAAGGAACATTTCTCACTTTTGTAATTGTTTGTTGGAGGGTTTTCTCCTTCAAAATCGAATATTTCAACGCAAAACGCTTAGGGCTGGAGAGGCAGAGCAAGGCTGGCGAAACACATCGCCTTTAGGTTTGTCTCAAAGTAGGACCCCTCCCCCAATTTGGAGAGAGAGAGAGAGAGATAGAGGGAGCGGCGAAAAGAAGAAGACTTGTCTCAAAATAGGTGAACGCACCTCCAAATGGTACAACTCAAAAGGGGTATCCTCGAAAATGCGAAACCCAACGCGCAGGAGCAGCAACCAAGACTCCCGTTGGACAGTATAGTATAGGTGGTTCTACTAACTTGGCTTCATGAGGGTCATAGTAGTGGTACCAAACGTTAACAGATTTTGTGCGCTGCTCATTTGGTGTTATATTCTTCCTTGCACGGGAAGTGTGTTTGAGGGATGGCTCCCGTTTTGTGGGGCCGCATTAGCTTCAACCCCATTTGGTCATTTCCCAGTTTGTTGACCATTTGAGAACTTGTGTGGTTTTCCCCAGCAGAACAGGCCGTGGACCACAGGGGTTGGGAGGCCTGCCCTTTTTGGGAACGGCCAGGGAAGATCCGGGCATCCAGAAAAGTTCCCCTCAGAAAATGAGCTTGGGCTGCTGTTGGGGATACTTGCGTGTGTCGTTTTTGAGGGTGCCCATGTTTGGGTGGTTTTAAAGGGAACCAAGAGACAACAACCCAATTGTGGGGTGCCCCTATTTAAGACACACCCACTTTACAACCTTATTTGTTTGACGAACAACCGCAACCCACCCCGCACAAAGCAGTCTGACCACTGATGGAGGGCAATTTACGTGCCATGGTCAAACTCGGACAGTCATCAACTGTTTGTAGGAAAGCTAGACGGCCATTGCAAGGGTTCCTAGTACCAGACCGTGGCACACATGCAACTGGCTACTTCCGCGCTTCGCGCAAACTGTGTCGCATGTTGGCGCTATCGTCTAGGCAATCCCCAGCCATCACTATCCCGCCCCACCCAAGGCATTCTCAAGGAGTTATGTAAATTAAATAAGGGCTGCTTGGCACCACCCTGAAACGGATTGGGGTGCTTTCCGAAAACGGGCAACCCAATTCGTCAAAGGGCAGCAAGCCGCCTTTCATCTCCCGCCATTCCCAACCTGAAGCTCCCTTCGAGCAGACACATCCAAACGAGGCTCGGTCAAAGTTTCCAGCAGTCCATGGTTTATTTGAAAGGGATTCCACACTTCCGAACCCTCAATTTCCCACAAGTCCCCACAAATTCAAAAGGATTTCCATGACTTCCCATGTCTTGGGGCCCTTTCTCCGTGAGGTGCACCTCCAGCAGCTGGCGTGCGTGCTGCTGCAGGAGCTGGCAGATCGGGTGCCCGAGAGCCGGGCTCCCGGGGGTCGCACGTCGACGTTGGGCGAGAGCGAGGAGATGTTCGGCGGCGGCCCTTGGCTCGGCCGGGCAACATGCGCCTTGTGACACCCGTTCAAGGCAACCCCGTTGTGAGCATGAATTTCCGAAAGGGTCTCCTGCAAAACGGGGGCTCGGCTACGCTGCTTTTTTGTTTGGGTCCTGGCCGTAGTTCTGGGAATGGGGGTGGGGGGTGGGGCCAACTTCCTGCGATACCAAGGTAAAACCCTTCAGACAGAAATATCAAGGATGGCCCAGTTCGGTATCACAGAAAGGGTCAGTTTCCAAAACGAATATGCCTGAATTGAGGCTTGATGTGCGTGCGCGCCGGCCGGGCACGCGCGCAAACAGCTGGCTTGGCACAAGGGGCCTGCCGATTCTTTTTGCTGGGGGACCATGGTCATGGAAGAGTGTGGGACCAGCTTAGCACACCTTAGGGGATTGACATAACCACGAAATCGGTGTAGAAGCCCTCAAATTTGAAAAGGTAGGCAAAATTAGCGCTACTTGCGCTGCAATGTCGGCGATGACAACGACGGCTACGGCCACGGTCGCGACTTCCGGCAAGGCGTCGGTGCTTCTGGCGGCGGTGGCATCTGGACGGTTGCAGGATCTGCAGCAGCTGCTGGTGCCGCCACCGCCGACCTTCCTCGATCGGATCGCGTACTGCTTCACAATGTCTCCAGAGGCGCAGAACCAGCAGCTGTTTCTCAAGGCTGTGCCTGAAACGGGTGGTCGTTCGCCATTGGAGGTGGTGGTGCGACAGGGCCATGTCGAGATGCTGCAGTGGCTACTCAACGATTCGCCAATTCACGAGCAATTGCGTGAGCAGTTTGAGTTGCTGACGGAGGCGGCGTACAGCAACAATCCGAACCGTCAGGCCGAGGTCATGCAGGTGCTGGCGGAAGTGGCGGAGGAGGAGCTTGAGCAAATGCAGTACTTGGACGCCTACAATTCGCGCTTGGGTCAGGTGGATGCGCTGCTGTCCTGGCTGCTGAATGAGTCGTCGGTGAGGGATGAGCTGCGTAGGAAGCTGGACCAGAGGACGCTGTGGGCGCGAAAGCTGCTGTCGGTGGTGGCGGAAGCTGGTCAGACGGAGGTCATGCAGGTGCTGCTGCAGGTGCAGCAGATTCAGAAGCAGTTCCTGCATGCGGTGGACGTGTCTGATGCTTCGCCGCTGAATGTGGCTGCGCGAGAAGGACAGGTGCCGATGCTGCGCTTTCTGCTGCATGAGTCGGTCATTCGTGAACAGCTGCGTTCGTCTCTAGTGAAGCGGGAGACGCTGCAGACGGCGATGGCCTACGGCCATCTGGAGGCCATGGAGATGCTCATGCAGCTGAAGGAGGTACAGCAGTATCTCGAGAATGTTCAGAATGAGGTGTCCTTCGCAAGGTCGCCGTTGTACGTCGCGGCCAACAAGTGCCAACCGGAGGCCTTCAAGCTGCTGATGACAAACATCTCGGCTGCGCAGAAGGCCGCCGTGACCAAGGTGGACCCGTGGTCCAAGCACACGCTGCTGACGCTTGCGGCCGAGCGCAACTGCCTCAGCATTCTGGAGCAGATGCTGGAGATGGCGAATGTGTTGACGGCCGAGTACCTGAACCATGCGGATGAACTCGGGATGACCGCCCTGGGCCATGCCGTCTACAACAAGAATATCCAAGCGGTGAAGCTGCTTGCCAAGGCCGGCCTGCCGAAGCTGCTGGAGGACATGCGCGCGACCCACGCTATCACCAAGGTGTTCAGTGGTTGGGGTCCGGTGTCCATGGATGGGCGGCCTCGGGATGGGCCGCTGACCTGGGCCGAGAAGAAGGAGGCACGCGAAGATCGCGAAGAGATTGACAAAGAGATTGCCCAGCTGCTGCGGACAGCACAGACGCAGGCAGAGGCAGAAGGAGCAGGACGTCTTGCCTGTCCATGAATGAGAAGGTGACGACCAAGATGAGCGAAGTAAACAGCTTACAAAAAGGGAAGAAACCCCAGTGCTGCTTGCGACCATTCAAATGTAAAAGGCCAACCAGCCTCGAAACCTGCCCATGTTATTCCAGCTGACACTCCTTCGTTTTTTGGAGGTGCCACTGGCAATGTTCGGGATCCTGGCCTCTCGCTCGTTGAGGCTGCCACAGGGTATATACAGGTGGAGCCTCTTCTGGATGATAGCCCCAGCCATGCGCCAAGGCCTTATTTGGGGTCTCATGTTTTGTTTTCCGTGTAGACAAAAAATAAATGAAACAGCAACCGCACATATTACGTTTGGAGTACCCCAGATGTGGGCCAAGCTATGGCCACGATCGGCAGAACTTTTGCCGGGATGGTTTGGGAGGCGCCTGTATAGAGCCAACCGAGCCAGCCGGACATGCGCGAAAACAAGTGGAACGAGTTGAATCGTTCGCACGACCCTATGGCTGTGGCGTCCACCAATTTTCTGCTCTGCCGATCGGGTGTTCGGAGCGAGCGCTGTTCACTTTCGAAGAGGACTTTGCGACGTCCCTGTGACATTGGCCTTTGTCTGCTTCTCAATGGCCGCAAATGTGCTTGCCGGGTTCATGACCCCATTATAATGAGATGCGAACCTGCTTGTGTCCTCGGAGGCCTGGAGGTGATTACCTACTTCGGAGGCGTAGAGGCGCCCGGCGAGCGCGCGATCACAGTTGCGAGAGGGCATGCTTTGTTGCGGAACTTGAGGGCTCGCCTCGAAACGGATGCCATTCCTTTGACTCCTAGCGGCCTCTTTCTGATGTTCATCCGCGTGTTGGGGGCAGAAACAGCTCCACGCCACTTCTGCAAGGGTCAGGTTGTTGACGTCCCCGCGACAGGCCTGGCACCAAGACATTTCCCTACATAGCAGGGAGCAAATGTTGTTGGTTCCAAGAGCCGGCCTCAGTCCCCGCACACCAACTTGAGAGTTGACGTTCATGTCATGAAGCATGTTTGCAATGCAAAGTTTGCAAGCATGTTTGGCGTATCCGACCCACTAGCGTGCCTACTGGAATCGGCCATGTTTCTGCAGGCCAGCGCTCGAAGTGGGTTTCCTTGTGCAACACACCCTGCATGTTTGCCACTGAATGTCTATCAGGCTTAGTTGCGCGGTTCAAGAGGCCACACACACGCGCGCGAAACGGTCTGCTAATTGCAGCCCAGGATTGATTTTCTGCAAGTCATCCGGTCTCCTTGTGTTGCACAGATGGCTGGCCTGAATCTCATGCCCAAATCAGTTCTTTATGGGACCAAGCTCGTCATGTTGTGCCTATGGATGGAAGATTCGTTCGAGAAGTGGCATTCCTTCACTCCACGCGTTGTCTCCCACCAATCACAGAAAACAGCCATTGGTGGAGTTTAGGGGATGAGGCATATTCGCCCAGCGAACAAAGCATCAGTGTGTCTTTTTGTAGGGGGGACCCTCTTCTGGTTGGTTTTTAGGCAAGCCAAAGGGAAACGCGCCATTCTCGGATCCGTCTTTTTGGACATGCCCACTTCACTGTTGTTTCCGTGCGTTTGGTTCGACGGGCGTTCGGCTTCGGAAAGGCAGTGCTGCGGGCCTTGCAGCGGCACGAGGTGCAATTTTGTGGGCTTGGGGTAATGGGCTCTCGATCACAGAACGTCAGTCAAAGATTTGAGGAATGTGTGGGTCTGCCAGTTTTTATGGCGAGGTCACCTGGCTGAGGTTGATTATTTAAGGATCCCTTATTTCAGAATTTAGGATTATGGAAGCATTTGTAGATGTGTCCGTGTGTGTTTGTGGTGGTTGTTGGGGTGAGGGTGAGCTGTCACTCGAGGCTCGGGTGCTCATGTTGACCCTTTGAGTGATGTTCGAGGCCTGGTCACAAGCTTTTCTATGATCCTCATAATAGAAACAACGGAACTCGCATCGCAGTTGCTCGATTACAAGATGTCCTTGCTCGCACATAAATGGACCGTGCAGATGCAGGACCATTCATGTGCTTCCATTTGCGTCAAGGATTGGTAGGGGAAATGGCCTGGAAAGCAAGTCGTATTGGCTGCAATTGCTCATTGAGTGAAGGCAAATAGTTCACGTCAGAATTGAGCTGACCGAGTCCGGCTTTATGTCCAGCGGCTTTGAGTCCCAATGTCACGAGTTTTAATTAGAGGGCCAATGGAAGTCCAAAGACCGGGGTGGAAAGGGATTGACATTGAAGTGATTCCTTTGGGGTAACTGACCGACTTCAGAATTCCTGACTGACAAACGGGCTGGCTGACTGACTTGAGGTGAGTGACTATAGTTGAGCCCAGGAGGGCGAGCTGCAGGAGCAGGGCGTGAAAGCGCCCGTGGCCCAAGGGATTTCTGGCCGCGAATACTTGGGTGGATTTTAGTAGTACATCCTCAACCTTACCCATTCGAAATGGTGGTTGAGAAGCAGTGGATTCAATACCAAACCAACCAACCTACCACCAAACAAACGAGCGAGCGAGCAAAGAAAACAAACCAACCAACCAACCAACCAACAAACAAACAAGCAAACAAAGAAGGGTGGACGCAGTGGAATCCGGAACCCTTTTTTGGGGTTGACCATGTTTTGCGTCAACCCATCGCGTCCTTTCGAGCCTACTCACTCGCGTGAGAGTAGCCCTTGTCCATGTTATCGTCGCGGGCCGCACTTGTGCGGTCTTCGTGCACCTTCCTTCGAGTGTCAAGGATGTCGCCCTCCTGCCATGGTATCTCAATGACATAGGGAGAGTGAAAAAAGAGTAGAGATGGACCCTACTTCGGGGCAGGCCAGGCCTTGCTTGCAAGTACCCAAGTATGCGTAAGCTAGTGGGCGGCCTTCACGGCTTACAAGGGAAGATGTCACTTCTCAAGATTTTGCTGAGAGCTTTCATGCAACTGCAAATCTAGGGTTGCTATTTGTCCCTGCGTTGGCAGGGATATCAGAGCTAGTGCACATTTGAAAGCTCACAAGCAGTTCAATCCAACCACCAATGGGGTTCCATCTGAAGCGTGGGAGCCGCATTGTGAAGGTGACTCCCCAATATGCTTCCTCTTTGCAGTCATTGAAAGGTGGTAGCCCAAGGTTTGGCCAGGCTTCTTTTGGGACATTTACTAGTTCTTGTACTGCATGCTCGCCAACGGGAGCAGACTTTTCCTCATGTTTGGCTGCACCCTGAGAGGCTGCAGACTGAGAGGCGATTTTGTGCATCATGTCACAAGCATTAGTTGATGGTACTCCTGCGAATCTGGCAGTGCAGCCTGTTGGCAAAGCCTTGGATATCACTATTCAACTGAATCCTAGCCTGTTGTGCAGCTTTATCGGCTGCATCATTTCCCAAGGACATTCATTTGTCATGCATTTTTTCACATATTCTGATATTGCGATGTGCTTTGACTTTCTCTATCTTGCAATTTGCTTCGTTGAAGTATTTTACAGCTTCGCAATGAACTTTTAAGTCATGTTTTGCTTTCCAGAACCTGACTGGTTCCGGGCAATCGAGTATGGCATTTTGTTTTTGTGTGCATAAATGCTATCCGTATAGATGGTTTTGTCTTTGACAGCAACGTATGCATATATGACTCCACTTACTGTAGCTCAGCCCTATTGATAGTCTGATCGCCAGCAACATTGGGTCACTAGACGCTTGAATACCGAAGGTCAATTAAGTTCAAGAAGGTATTGCTGCACAATTGCTTCTCGCGCGATGTCTGTTTTGATGCATTCTGCAACAACTGAGTACCCTGCGTAATTTTCCTGGGTGCACGTTACAACCAAACAAGCATGGATTCTTCAGAGTGGCACCCGCCTACGACCTTCTGAATACATTTCTGCATCGAGGCTGTGCAGCATCGGCCGCCGGAGCCAGCAATGCAGGCCAGGGAGGGGGGGAGGACCAAGTTGGGTTCCAAGTGGTGCCATTTTCTATGATGCCAACATGATGATCCTTGAGTAGTGCGGACAGTTAAGTTATTGAGGCACTCATTGTGGGTTGACACCACGTTCGACGATCCCCAGGATTCCGCAATGGTAGAAGGTCTTTTTTTCCACAACCATGGGCAACACAGCTGGCTTGGCCGTTCCACCGGACCTGTATTCAAGCATCCACATCATGTCTGTCTTCGCAGCTGCCCGGGAATCTGGCATATCCTGAAATCTGTGTTTCGAGTTTGTGCAGCACACTGCTGAAAGCTCGCAGAGCCCTTGCACGCTTGAGGGCGCTTTGCGACGCGGGAACAGGGCGGAGCCGGAAGGGGGTGCGCAAAGCGAAAATCGCCACCCATCAGCCGATGGGCGCATGAAATGGGTTTCGCGAGCGCCAGGCAAAAGGTTGTGGACTACGGCCGGGCCCTTGAATAATCCTGGAGAGCAATCGGCACACGTTGCCTAGGATCTTGCGCCCATCACCCTACAATCCCGCTGAATTCTTTGCACGCTCCTTCCTGGTTATGCAAGTGACTCCATAAGGATGTGGACTAAGTCAAAAGGAGGGCTGCTTGGTCACGTGTGCTGAAGGCGAAAGGGCTTGTGTAGGAAGCATGATGTTTGACACTTATGCTTGACAGGATTTGCGTCATTTCCAATGGATTCCTCATAGAATGCAACTAAGTAGAGTTTCATCCCGTGAGGAGGGCGTTGCTGCCCTGTTGTGGTGCGCAAAGATGCAGCTGTGGCCATATTATAAGTTCAGTTCGAGTTTGTCATTGGGGCTCATGTCCACCATCGGGGCCCGTCTGCGGTGTGAAGCAAACGACCCGGCTTGAACTCCAAAGGTGTATGTGTATGATGAGCTGCTTTAAAGCCAAGTCATGACAGTGGGGGCAAAAAAGGTTAGTCATTATTCAGATCCTCAAGTTTTCTGATGGGCCCTTTGGCAGACGGTGGCTGTCAGGGCTGAGCCCCCAAAGGCTGCATTGAAAAGGTACACGTGTGGGTTATGTCCAAAATGAAAGTACCAAGACGTGCTACACAATGACAGCGGGGTTGTGGGGTACTGTTAAACTAGATTATTGTAAACGCTTCGGGCTGCCCGCCCTCGCCGCGTGTAAGTCGGCACCGAAATGCGTGAGCTGGTTTCCAAGACGTACGGTGGGTGCAAATTCACGCGTTTCTACACCGCCCCACTAGAGCCGCAGCCCAAGGGCAAGGGTCACTTTTGAGGGCGGAACGGGCCAGGGTGACAACCATAGCTAAGGCCAGGGCTGAAATAGTGCAAGGGCCGCAATGGGCGTAAGGCCAGGCACAGGCAAAAAGATCGGCAAAGCTTTGCGGGGTAGTGAAGGGTAAAGCTTCACAGACCAATAAAAAAACGGGCTCTTGGGCTGTAGACCAAGGGCAAGCTAGTCCCCTGTGATGCAAACAGGACGTCCCTGTTGATCTAATGACAAAATCAGGAAGCAACCCTATCAAAACTGGTCAGACAGGCATTGAGCCACTAGCAGCCATGTAGCGCTGTATCTAGCGTATAGAGGCAACAGATCCGGGAGCGATTGCTGGCTTTCTCGGAATGTTCCTTGCTGGTAGGGAGAAGTTTCCAGATTGTTGCTCCATGTTGATTGCTGGGAAGAATATGATTACAGGCAAGTTCTGCAGTTCAGCTTCTAAACATCGTACCAGTCTCTACATTTGGCGTGCCCCAAGATTGGTTCGTCTTCCGTTTGGCGTCTTGTCGTTCAGTTCCAGCCTGTTTTATCTTGTGGATCCGCAGGGCTCACATTTGCCGGCCGAACCACCTTTGCACCTAGACACCCACCTCTTGCCCCCCTGGGCCCTGCCCAAGGGGTTCGAGGGCCGGAAACTTCCGAGTGAGGCCAATCCCAGGATCCCAGCCGCGGTCTCGGGATCGGAGTCGGCGCCTGGGACGTGTTGGGCAGGGAGCACTTGGGGATTTGGAGCTTGGAGTTTGGAGCGTGGTTCGCCGATGTAAATGTGGTTTGCTTGAGCATTTTGTGCCTTGGTGCGTGACCCGGGCGACTTCAGCGCTGATGCTCCCGACACTGCGACCCTTGCTGGATTGATCTGGGGCCATGGATCTCTTTCAAGTTGGATTGCTTTGGCCAACCCCGGAATGATCCTAACAGGCAACGGCAAAACCGCAGCGCTACAGGCAAAGCACCATCCTCGATCCCTGCATTCGTTGTGC